TTTTTATAGCTCGATAACTATATATAAATTTGGACAACTAAATTTCTGTGTCTATAAATTTCGACAACTCAGTAAACATTGATCAGTTTGAATAATTCGATACGTTGCGATAACTTAATAAGCATGGATAAATTTCGATAATTATAAACTTCGATGATTCGATAAATTTCAGTAACCTTTATAGCTGATTTTATTTCGATTCCTATCGGAAAATTTCAGCTCTGTCAACCTAATTCTTATGTATTTCTCATTGTCTCCATTTTCGCCTTATCTCAATTTTCGCCTTTATCTTCACTTTTGCCTTTTTTTTGTATTCATCGTTATCACTTGTTTCTTCATCTTCATATTTATCTTTATTTCAAAGTTGAATTTCAAATACGAAGTAAAACAAAATGCGAAACAGCTTAAATTGAACAGGTTGCAAAAACAACCATACACAAATATGGAAATTTTTAAACGACGATTTTCAACCAATTTCGAAACTATGAAAACTCTCCTCATCTACAGAAAATTACCTTTCCAAAGGTGTTTTTGGTTTTGAAATCGGTAACTTTACCTTGGTCTTCATCTTTGTTTTTATCTTTCACATCTTTGCTTATATCCTTTTATTTTTCTATTCACGTAGATGAGATGAGGTGCGATGACGTGATAAGATGAGACGTGATTTTATGTGATGTGATAGGATGTATGTCATGTGTTGTCATATCCTCTGATGTCATGTCATATGATGTCATACCATATAATGTCATAACATGTGATGCCACGTCATGTAATGTCATGCCATATCATACGATGATATATCATGTGATGTCAAGTCATGTGATGTCATGCCATATAATGTAATGTCATATCATATGATATCATGTCACGTGATATCGTATGATGTGATATCATATTATGTGATGTAATGTCATGTGATGTCTCTTCATATCATGTGATATAATGTGATGTGATGTTATGTAATGTGATCACATTCCATGTTCCGATTAGTGTGTCGATAACCCTGCTGATAACTGTGTTGATAAAAATACCGATAACAATATCCATAAACATATAGAAAAATACAACGATTATAAAATCGATTAATTCATCGATAAATATAACAATCATATAGACTAAATCGATAACAAAATCAATTATTTAATCGATTATTATACCCATAACAATATACATTATTGTATCGATAACAACATCGATTATTATATTGGTTACTATATCGACTACAGTTATTTAATCAATAGCAGTATCGATAACAATCTCGATTATTTTATCGATAGTAATACAGATTATTATATCGATAAAAATATCGAGTTTTATATCGATAACAATATCGATCTTCATCCTCATCCTTCATATTTATCTTTATTTTTGCACATTCCTCTCCACCTTTACCTTAAAGTGTTTAAATTTACTTTGATCTTCGTTTTTGCTTGTACCTCTAGGCATCTTTGTGTTTGTTTTTATTCTCAAACCGCTAAACCGCTGAGAACCATTTCCGTGTGCATTATTCCACATGAGTTTGACAATTTACTCCCAACCAACCAACTGCCGCTAATGAAGTTTCACTTCATAAATTCAAGAAATTTTCTTACCTTTTCAGTTACCCTAATTCTTATATATATGTCACTGTCTCCATTTTCGTCTTTATCTTCACTTCTGTCTTCATTTTTTTTTGACTTCATCGTTATCATTTATTTCTTCATCTTCATATTTATCTTTATTTCAAAGCTTAATTTCAAATGTGTAGTGAAACAACAGGCGAAACATGTCAAATTGAACATGTTGCAGCAACATCTATATGTACACAATTCGTAAATGTTTAAATGACGGTTTTGGCCGTAATTTTCAACCCATTGTGAAACCTACGGAAAAATGCCTTTCCAACGGTGTTAGTGGTTTTGAAATCGGTTCGGTAGAATCGCCAAACGAACCGAGACAAAATTTATGTTAGCGTATTAATATATAGATTTACATATTTTTTGGTTATTCGGTATTTCTGGCCTAAAATACAAAAAACGGAGAAAAGTATGTACACAAAGTGAAAGGTCCCCTAATTACCTTTATTTTGACGTCATTAATAGGTTATGTTGTTGCGAAGATATTAGGATTTGAAAAAATCAAAAAATTTAACTTTAACCATTGATCCCTTCTTTATTTTTTACTTCGGCCAAATAATTTTGGTAGGGTTGAAATCATCACAGATAGTTCTACGAGTCACATTTTTGATTTTTGCATAGCTAGATTGTTGGTTTTCTAGATTTATGTGCACGGAACGAACTCGGACTACCTAAATATTTCTGATTATATCCTGCATTACGGGAGCAGGCTAACTGTCGGCAAGTTGGTTGCAGGTTTAAATTATGAAAGACACAAACCCAATTCGACCACAAAAGGGGTTGCATTTCCAAAAACTTTAATTAAATGTGGTGTTTAAGGAGAAGTTTAACGAAAATCGTTTGTATGGTAAACTCCAAAATTGCCCATAAAGCCATTAACTCGAAGCTCAACGTGAACATATCTGTTATTTTCGGCGTTAAGATGTAGAAATTTGCGTTTAGCTGTTAGCTTTTTTAAAATCGACTTACCTTCCGAATTATGTAATTTTGAGAGCGAATTACCTCATTTGTAGGTAATTCAGATCGAATTATCATGCGAATGACGAGCGAATCGATGCCGTCTCTAATATTTATCGAAAATATATCGAAGTTTTCACCGGCCTGGTCCCATTTGCTGGCACTTTTTCTAGTTGTAGAATAATACTAATAATACAATTTTCTCTATATATATTACAATTGTTGATGATAACATAAATTTTAGCTCCATATTCGATATTTGCAGTACACAAAAATAATAATAAATAGCGAAGAACAAGAGCAAGAACTATAGCTGCCAAACGAATTACTAATATGTGGCGTGGAAACAGGGTAATTCACGAATTACTTAGCGAATTACTTAGAGAGCGAATTTCGAAGCGTGGAAACATCGTATAAGCGGTCGTTATTCATATGCCCACATCCATACATACATATATTGCTCTTCATATCACTACCGGTCTGTTACATGCGCCCCGCGCTTTTGATTTTCAAACTTATAAAGTGTTTATAATGACTTTTAGTACAATTGCCATAAATACCTTTGCTATATTTATAGTATAAATGGTGGTCTGGCCATACAACATTGCCAGTTGAAAAAAGCGTTGTAAAATACAGACAAAGATTAAAAAGGAGGTTAAGAAGAAGATGTCGATGAATATGAAGATGAGGGAAAGCTAAGAGATGGCCATGAATATGAAGATGGAGATAAAGACGAAGGGGGAGATGAAGATGAAGTTATAGGAGAATATGAAGAATAACATAAACATAGAAACAAACACAAAGATGTAAACACAGATAAGGATATAAATAGATACGAATTGCGCCTGAGATTGAGGTTTAGATTATTTATATTTTTAACCGAGTTCAAAAAAATGAGGAGGTTATCAATTCGTCGAAATATATATTTCTTATACCCGAGCGCACTTATGCACATGGGTATATTAATTTTGTTCACATAACGGTTGTTTGTAATAGTCAAACGAATCGTGATAGATATAGACAAATGTATACATAAATGCTCAGAATGAATCGAGAAGTCGATTAAGCCATGTCTTTCTGTCCGTCCGCCCGTGTACACGATAACTCGAGCAAAAATTGAGATATCTCAACGAAATTTGGTATGTAGGTTTACATTAATCCAAGGTAAGTTGGTATCGAAAATAGGACTGTAACCACGCCCGCTTCCCATATAACGGTAATATCCAGAAATACGAAAACTGCGATATTTTGGTAACTACTGAAGATAATTCACCAAAATTGATATTTACAATAACTTTTAGACGATAAATAAGAATATTATAAATTTTTGGAAAATGGGCGTCGCCACGCCCACTTATGGTTACATGTGTATATCTTGGGAACCGCTGCACCAATTTCTTCCAAACTTGGCACAATTGTTGACCTGGGTACAGCATACTAAATGGCCGAAAATTTCAAAAATCGGACAATAACCACGCCTACATCCCATATAACGGTAATTTAGAGAAATACAAAATTTTCGATATATCAGTAAATATTAAAGCTAATTTATTCAAAATTGATGCTTGCAACAATTTTAACCAAGAAATACGTTTATGGTAAAATTTTGGAAAATGGGCGTGGCACCGCCCACTTATGACCACATATATGTATATCGGTATTTTTATTGTGCTTGCCACATAAAAGCAAAACGTTGAAAATTATTGAAATCGGACTAAAATTACGGCCGCTTTTCATATAACGGTAAATTTCAGAAATGCCTGAAACTGCCATATTTCGAAATTTAAGGACGCCAGTTTACTCAAAATTGATACACCCCGGCTTACTATCTAGCGGTAGGTTTCGGAAAGGTGGAAAAACATATATTTAATACTTGCGCTGGGTATTTAATGTTCGGCTCCGGCCGAACTTAGACTTTCTTACTTGTTTCTTTTTTTGTGTTTGTTACCGCATAACTTTGGACCACGTAAACCGATTTCGGTAATTTTTTTTGCATCCGAACGGTAGTGTCTCACTACTGGTCCCACACTAATCTGGTTTAGATCCGATCATTGGATCATGAAAAAATTAACGCCACTCCTAAATTTTTGTATGAGAATTGAAGTCAGTTTGGGTTTTTGCTTAAAAATTAATTGTTATTATTATTAATTAGTAAATAAAGTAGTTTATGATAAAAAATGAGCATAACAATAGAGCTCTTGCGAAAATAGTACTTGCAACTAAATACATCCCGTGTCCAAATTAAAGGCCCACCACAAATCCACAAGTTTCCACAATTCAATTTTTTTATTTACGTTTATTATTTTTAATAAAAAAAATCATTTTGCAACAAAAACCATGTAGGACCAAGTTTTAAACTGTGTGTTATACTAAAAAAAATCAACAGATTTTGTAAAAATTTTAATATTTTTATTTGAATTCCTGAAAAAGTTTTTGAATATCATCTTATATTCAATACAACCTACACATCTGAAATTTTCACAAGAACTACTTGCTGATATTAGAATCCATCTGAGACTTAACTGTCATCCCTAAGGTTAATTTGATTTACGAAATTTAATAACAAATTATTCTAACAAGCGATGTTCAAGGTCAGCATCAATCTGATTTTTTTGAAAATTGCGTTGTATTGAATATAAGCCCTCGATAGGCAGTTTCCTTGGTATAATAAATTTTAGTATAATAAAGTGCAAGTTTGGAGTAAGTTACCTACTTAAAGTACTTGAAATGTTTACCAAAGTTTGTTGATTTATCTTAAATGTTGCGCAACGATTGAAATATTAATTTTCACAGTTTCTGTTAAGGAATACTATGTTTTATTTTATTCAGGCATACACCATAAACCCAGTAAACATGCTACCACGTAAAATACGCCAAATGTAATAAAGTATGCGCCCAAACTGGTCTGATCATAACTGCATGAGGTAATTATGATCAACACCAACATTTGCACCGTGTAGGATAAAGCAATGTAGTACGTCTTAAGATGCAGTGGAAATGCCTCCGTTAGATAAGCTGAAGATGAACTACTGAAAACGCCTGCAAACAATTCCATCACGAAGAGTAGAATTAACAGCTTTCCCATTTTAGTTGAATACAAAAAGTTTATAACGTCGTTATATACAACACCAGCACCAATTGCCATGCTACCACAAATCAGGGCACCAATTATCATAAATTTCTTGCGTCCTACGTAGTCCATTAAGAATGCGCCTATGAAGGAGCCCAGCCATAAAAACACACCGAAGAGAATATATGGCCACGTATCATCACCAGCATATGACAAAGTTGACAGCAGTAACGCTAGAACGATGAGCGGCGAAAAGGAGAGCGCAACCAAGCCACGGTATAAGCACATCTTCAACAGTGCTGGTAACATTAGATCAATGTTATAGCTATTATCCTGGATATAACGTTTATGCTCCTCCAGTTGCTGATATGTTTCCTGTGTCACAACAAATGGCCGTTGCAGACGACGCAAACAATCGATGGCTTGGTTCTCATCATTGTGCAGCAGATAATAAACGGGTGATTCGATGACCAAAAAGTATGAAAGTAGAAAAGTTATTACGGCAAAACCAATAACAAAGATGCCATGCAGCTCTGTCGAACCAAATTTGTACTGAAAGCTGGGTATAGCACCGCTATTGCTGTATGCGAATATGCAACAAATTTGCAAGAATATACCAATTGTAAAGCTGCCCATCTCAAGCAATGCAGCAGCCATGCCACGTTTACTGCTATCCACTTCTTCGCCAATTAGAACCAAAGTTGGTACGACTACGAGACCCATAGCGAAACCATTCAAGTAGCGAGCTGCCGAAATAGCGCCATATTTGTGAGGTAGAGACACAAAAAGTATGCCACCAACCAGAATTAAGAAGGAGGAAAACAACTGTAAAATAAGTTAAATTTGTATAATGAAAGATACCTACTGTTATCCATTAATTTCACTTACGTATATTGGTTTTCTTTCCATGCGATGTGTAACGAATCCCGAAACTAAAGCGCCAATAATTACCGCAATATACCAGCAAATCATTAGGTGTGTATTTACTATGAAACCTTGAACCGCGTAAAAGCCACAACTCCAGGCTAGGTTCATGCCTCCCGATATCAAAACAAGTGTGGCTGAAAGTAAAGAGGGGTAGAAAATTAAAACTCTTGTTATTAGGATTAGATAAGATTAATATTTAGATGAGGGAATAGGTCGCTATGTACATAATTACCGCGTCCAAGACAGGAAGCGAGACGTATTTGCTGTTATAAGAAGAGGAAGGCTGAAACACATGAGTGCGAAGAGCTTGAAAGCTGTGGAGAAGAAGAACTCGAGCCCTCAGTCGACGATGACGTAGTCGACGCTCCGCCACCTAACAATAGCACGATAGCCACGATAGCAATAGCACGCTTGAAAAACAAAAAAATTTGTTGGAGCTGGCAGCCTGCTGCGGTGGCGGTGCATCAACTCTTATGCAGAATATGGTCATATAAGTGCATGTCCAACGACCAAAATTTAATTGTGTTCTGCCCAACCAAAAAGTGAGGCGATCCCGCCATTCGCGCCAACTACCGCGGGATCAGCCTTCTAGGCATAGGTTACAAGGGTTTATCGAGTGTGTTGTGTGAAAGACTGAAGCCCACCCAGTGTGGCTTTAGACCTGGCAAATCCACGCTAGACCAGGTATTCACTATACGCCAAATCTTGCAAAAGACCCGCGAGAAAAGGATCGACGAGTCACCACCTATTTGTCGACTTTAAAGCCGCCTTTGACAGCACTAAAAGGAGTTGCCTATATGCCGCTATGTCTGAATTTGACATCCCCTCAAAACTCATACGGCTGTGTAAAATGACGGTGAGCAATACCACCAGCTCCACCAGAATTGGGAAACACCTTCCGAGCCGTTTGCCACCAAACGGGGATTCAGGCAGGGCGACAATTTTTCATGTGACTTCTTTAATCTGATGTTGGAGCATGATTCAATAATACAAGGTTAGATAATTATTGACAGCTGCGGTTTGACACTCCCTTACAAAAGGTTGCATTTACGAAGGACAGAGAAAGGGCAAGAATGCTATCCCTTGTTGTGAAAATGGTAGTGGAAAAGTACGCAAAGTAGGCATTAGTAGTGAAATTCCTTTTTTAAATTCTAATGTATTTGCAGGAAATCTGGCATTTTAAACGAAATGTTGAACGTAATATTGATATATCTACGTGAATTGATGTAAACATCCAATGCTTATGTTTTCATCAGTCAACTATGCTACATATGCATATACAAATATACATATTGCACAATAGCTTATACTTTTATTTCACACCAAAGCTACACTGTTTCCATGTAAATTTGCAAAGAAGCAAGACGGTGCCACTGCTAAGGGAACGGTGCGAGAGAGACAACTGTCAGTTTATCGAACCTTGTATTATTGAATCATGATGTTGGAGAAGATAATGAGATCTGCAGAGCTGAACCACTCAGAAACAATTTACTACAAGAGCGTACAATTGCTGGCTTATGCCGATGACACTGACATCATCGGTAAGAAAAACCGCGAAGCCTGTCCTGGCTTTTCCAAGGTGGGCAAGGAAGCAAAGCGAATGGGTCTGGTGGTAAACGAGGACAAGACGAAGTATCCCTGTCATCAAACAAACAATCAGCACATTCGCGCCTTGGCACCCACGTCACTTTTGACAGTTTTAATTTCGAGAAAGTAGAGAATTTCGTTTACTTGGGAACCAGAATTAACACCGATAATAATGTCAGTATGGAAATCCAACGCAGAATCGCTCTTGCCAACAAGTACTGCTTTGAACTGAGCAGGCAATTCAGGAGTAGAGTCCTCTCTCGACGTACGAAAACCACACTATAGGTCACTCATCATGCCTGTGCTAGTATATGGCGAATTAAAATACAGCGGCTCAACTGGCTTGACCATGTCGTTGGAATGGACACCGACGCCCCAGCTCTGAAAGTATTCTGGCTTCACTTGCCATTTCCAATTGGCGTCAGATGGCCAAAATCGCTTTGGCGGTTACAGCGCCAAATAAGAAGAGAATAGATCTATAACCTTATCAGTCACACAGTGTTATAATCACCACGAAATCGTTGACGGTGGTACCGGGAGGGGAACGGTACATGACGGTAAGGAAATTTAGTTTGGATTAAGTCTCACACTGACGGGGTTAGGCTTTCGATGCTTCCTCCTCGTAAAATAAACATGCTCAGTAAAAAGTTAACAATTTAAATCGACGAATAGTTTTATACAGTTACAACAGTTAGGTACAACATATTTACCTGTATTGGTTACAATAAATTTTAAGCTATAATAAACAATTTTTTAGTAAGTTATTGGTTTTGAACTTTTTTTTGTATGAATTATTAGAAAATTCGATGTGGCACCGTAGAACTTGGAATAGAGGTAAATGAAATCAACCCCAAAACGATCTCGTAGCCATTGAAAAGATCTAGCGGTATAAGCCATATAAACTAAAATTCTGATGCCGCAGGAAGCATTTCCTTAGGTATTTTTCGAATGGAAATGTCTACAGAAAAACGGGCGTGACACCTTTTGGAAAGTTACATGATCACAGGGTGTATCCGTGGAACCATTTTAAGCTAAAGCTTCAGAGAATACATTCTTGCCAAACCCCACAGGCAGAAGCTGAAATTGCGTCGCACGGTTTACGATCGGCTTGGGTAAGGTTTAACCACTTAACCCCTCTTTGTTTTCGCCGCTATTGAATTCTATAAACCGTCAGTTTTCACACAATTTAAAATGTACATGTGTACTTAAAAATGGCATGAAAATTTTGTTGCTAGCTTCATGTTGCCAACATGTTGCAGCTTTTTTACAGCGTGAACAGAATACTACTTTGCTGAGGAAATGTTGTGGAATTTCACTCTTATTTCACAGAGAGAAATTTTATATGCAAGCTGTCAAACCTTTTTCACGTGAACCAAGAACCGAATACTGTGCTTTGGTAATCTATGTATATACATGTGTACATACATACCCTTCAGGAAATGTATGTATGTAACTATAAGCCAACTTCAAGTTGATTAAGGAGCTAAAAGTCACTTATTATCTGCATATTTTCTTTGAGGAAAGCTAATTATATTTGTATGGCGATGGCCGCGAAATAGTCAAGAGTGGTTTACCTCTGCATTAGATGTAGTCAAGGATGGTTACCTCTGCATTTGATGTAACTAACTTGTAACTAACTACTTTTGGACATAAAATATCAATAGGAAAAACAAAATATTTTTATTTTTATTTTTATTTTTTTATTATTTTATTTATTTTATAACATTTCACATTTGTTCCCATATTCTGCTGTAGGTGGTTCCATATTAGAACTCCGTCGGACATAACTTCAAAATGATAATATAAAATTACGATCTTCCTTTTATTTGTCCTCAATTCGAAAAAGTATTTGCGAAGTGCGACATATTTAAATAGAAACGCGTTTAAAGAAAACAATCTTGAGCTTTACTCCTGCATTACTTGTCCACTTGTTTCATGTTAGCTTTTTGCAGCTAACTACAGGTTATGTATTTTATAGAAATCCCGCAAAAAATCTAACTACAAGTTATTTTTTATAAATTGATAATTTTTTTTCTGCAGGGTATAATACCCTGTACATATATGAACACATGTATGCATAATAAGCGGAAACTTTTTAAAGTGAAACTTCTTTAGCGCTACTTGATTGTATGCACATGGTATTAGTTTAACAAAATCTTGCCAATAACAGGTTAAAGAATAACACTTAGAAAAAGAACAATACAAGAATGGAAGTAAAGGTGAGTACGTACATAGATAAAGAAAAGTATAAAGGCAAAGGCAAAAATAAAAACAAAAACAATGATTCTTAAAGGCAAAAATGAAGACCTCGGTAATTTTAAACACTTTACTTCTATAAGGGCAAAGGTGAAGGGGAATATGTAGATGAAGAATATGATAAACATAAAAGTAAAAACCAAGATAATTACATATGAAGAAAAATATGAGGATGATGATACTGATAGAAGAAGTGTCTAGCCGCCAAAAAGTAAGAAAACAAATGCAACATCATACATTTTTCACAATTTTCTAACAGTTTGCTACACCAACGAAAGCAAAATTCTGTTCGACAGAAAATTCGATACTAAACGAAAATTTCGACACGCTTGCAAATTTCGGCACGCTACAAAGTTCACTTTCGATCTTCGATTTTCAATAGCCAGCGAATTTTCCGAGCCGATTTTCACCGACTCTCAAATATGAAAATAAATTTTTATTTGAAATTTTTATGCAAAATTAGAAGAAAATTTGATTTGTATATTATAAATCCAAAATAACAATTATTTTTGATTTTAATATTATAAGTCTAAGATGACAGTTATTGAAGACTTTTATTTATAAAAGTCATAAATAAAAATCAGTCAGTGACTTTTACTTTTAAAAGTCATCAATATAAATCAGTCACCGACTTTTATTTTTAAATCATTCGTATAAAAGTCATTAACATTTTTCGCAGTTAAGAAGGTGTTGGGAAACAAAAGTTTACTACGACTTATACAAATGACTTTTATAGGTATGATTTAAAAAATAAAGGTCAGTGACTGATTTTTATTTATGACTTTTATAAATAAAAGTCTTCGATAACTGTTACCTAAGACATTTAATTTAAAAATCAAACTTGACTGTTAGTTGCAGATTACTTAGGTAAAAATTAAAAAATAAATGTTATTTTGGATTTATAAAATAAAAGTCAGAAATAACGGTCACTTAAGGAGTAATCAAATAAAAGTCAAAAAATAATTGTTAATGAGCGATTTTTGTTAATAAAAGTTGCAACTGTTACGGTCCCTGCTGATTGTTGTATGAAACGACAAAAAAATTCTCATCAAGGACACTTTTCAACAAAGAAGCTTCTTCGAAAATCATAACATAAGATAATTAACCTTTCATTTTTCTTTTTGATAAACGAGTCCTTCTGCCTTTTTATACCCGTTTTTGCTGCAAAAACATCAAAATCGGTAAGTATTTTTTATGAACTAAAGGGAAATATTTTCATTAGGGTGGTACAAAAAAGGAAATTAAAATCGCCATTTTTACGCTCTCATCCCCTAAAC